CGCGGGCTGCTCGCCCCGGCTGCAAGAGAGCCACAGGACAAGTGAGAGCGGCAGCGTCGGGGGGAGCTGCGCCCAGACCCACAGGGATGCTCCGCAGCTTGGATAGGATCATGATCAGACAAAGGACAGGCAGAGCTGGGAGCAGCCCCTAAACCCCAAATGTGGCTGGGATGAGCCCTGTGCTGCTGAGCCCCTTTCTCCCCCTCCTTCCCATCTTTAATTTCTCTTGCCCAGGGCTGGGGTTTTCCTGTGGTATCTCCAGCTCCAGTGGGAATAAACACACCAGCAGTGACACTGTGGTTTGAGATGGCTGGTGATGGTTTTGATAGTGTGGGGCATAAGAGCTGCAGAGATCTGGGACGCTATGGGAGATGCAGCTGTGGCCTGGGGGTGGTTCCTGTCCATAGCCTGGGCTCCCACCCAGCACAGCAGCTCATCCAGCTTGCTCCTAGGCATCACTCCCTCCTCCCTGGGTGCCTGCACCCCTCACACCCTGTCAGTGTGAGCCCAGCCCTTACTCATCCTGCTGCCAAAGAGGATCTGGAAGACGTCCTCCCAGCTGTCCCTGTTCATGAAGGCGTAGTGGTTGAACACAGTGGAGGGGGAGGACTTCTCGCAGTCAGCCTGAGTGGGCTGGTTGGCAAAGTCATAGGACCAATAGTACTTGTCTAGGAGAGGACGTGCAGGGCATTAGTGGGGAACATGCTCTCGAGGGGGAGCAGGAGCTAGAGGGTATCCTGCTCAAGGACACTGACACTGGGCTGTGCCCCTTACCCTTGAAGAAGTAGACTCTCTCATTGCCGTGGTAGCTGTGGGCAGGGAGGGCGAAGGCCGCATCGATGTCATTCGGGATGCCTTCGAAGCCCTCAGAGATGTCACGAGGGTACCCAGGGTCCAGAACTCCATCGTCAAAGCGCCAGTACTGGCTGCCCTGGGGGGGGTGCAGGACAGAATGGGGGGGTTAGGGGACTGATGGCAGCACCCCAAGGTGTGAGTGGATGCTGGGAAGCCCCATCTGTGGCTGTGGCTGCCTGG